CTGTCCCGTTTGAAAATGGAACTGTACCGAACGGTTTTAGGTCTAAGACCGAACCGGACCGGACCGTTTGAATAGTTACGGTACGGGTACAGGTTCGACCAAATATTGGACCGGACCGCGTCCCACTACAAGAATCTTGACGTAATGTGACAATTTTTTTCGTCATGTAAAATTCATATTTTGTCACTAAAACTTTTATATGACGATTTTTTAGCGTCACAGTGATCGTCACCGTAGCTCCGTGGTATTAGGTATATGTGACAATTTTTTGATTCGTCACCAAATAATTAACATTTAATGACGTTTTAACACTTCGTCACCATTACATTCACTCAAACGTATAAGACACGTATAATTCTGAAATACATATTTCACTTATAATACACTCAAACATATAATTTCCAAAAATTTCCGAAAAATTCATGTACTTTAAAGATAAAATGTATTCCGTATAATACATGTACCCTATGTGTTGATATGTACATAAATGTTTAAAATATTATATCTAGAATCTTAAACTTATTATATATAGGGGAGGTAGAGTTCTAACTTATTACTCCGTATATATATACATGGGAAGAACTCTTTGTAATTGAACTATTCCCTATTTATACAGATATACATATACATAATGGTCTTCCACACTTGCAGTGTGAGAGGATTTGTGCCCAATCATAAAGCATTAAAATTTGGTTCAAGACAACTAACAAGTAACGTAACAAGCATACATGTTAAGCTAGAATTTTGAGATATAAAACATATACTGAAAAAAAAAGAATAACAATTGATCAATGCAATGTAATGCAATTCGTAAGACATTAATGTATGTCGGGTTAATAACCAGTAAAAGGTAGCTAAAATCACAAATAGGACACGATTGTACTAAATTTCCTAGAAGAACTAAGAATGTGTGTTTGGACAAATTTACCTTTGTAACTCTTTGGGCTAAAATAAATATTTAATAAAATTAATAAAAAAAAAGTTAGATAAGTAAATATTATAAATTAAAAATAAATAAAAAATTTGAAAAAAATTACAAATTAAAAAATAAAAAATAGAAAAATAAAAATAAAAACATAAATAAATAAAAATACGCCACCCGTAGCACAACCAGGTTTGACCAGCTTTAAAAAAATGTCAACATGCATTAGAAATGTCATATTGATGGAAGTTTCATTGAAATTTTTGGCATTATGAACGAATAATATAACATTTTCTTCGCATTTTCAGAAAAAAATGATTTTTTTACAAAAAATGGAAAATTTTCACCGATCAGAGGTGGTAGTGCTGGAAGGTGGTACAGGCAGTGGGAAAGGCATCCATATTTTTTAATATATTTTTATGGGTTTTTACTATTTTTAATATTTTTTTAAATTTTTTCAATTTAAAAAAAATTAATTTTTTTTATTATTTTTTACGAATTTTTATTATTTTTTTACGATTTATTATGGATTAAAACATTTTATTATGAATTAATACTCTTAGGGGTATTTGGGATCGAAAAACAATAATAAAAACAACTATTTATTAATAATAAAAATGATCAGTACAAAAATAATCATGATAGCCTAAGGTCACAATGAGATAAGACATGGAACTGAATAGTTGCAATGGAACATAAAAAATCACTAACCCCGCAAAGATGTAGACTGTTCTATCAATATAGAAGCTCCTGCTACTTAGCTTAACCATAATCAATACTACAAAAGTATTAATATGGGACAAAAAACAAACATATAAATCGGTTTCACCATCCACCGACAGGGAAATAATAGAATATCTTGTTTGTCCAGCCAGCAGAAAGAAACAACTAAAATCCTCAGTTTGACCAGCTACTGGGAAGAAATTGCAAATGTCATCAGTTTGATCAACCATCGACAAAAAGATCCAATCGAACGTTATATTTCTCTCATAGCACGGCGTTGGTTTAGGAGGAGGGCGAATAATTAAGGTCTTGGAATCGTCGATGTCTGAAGTTAACCTTCCAAACAAATCAAGCAGGATAAGCAATTCCATCCACCGCCAATAAAATTTCAACGCCTGATCGGTTTCACCGACGAGAAATACACAAACCCTAAACATTGCTAGGAAGAAACCACATAAAATAACTTGAAAATACCTACGAAAGAGATAAATTTTCATCTTTAGGAGGGGAAAACTGATTGAGAAGAAGAGAATAGAGGGGGAAGGCTAGGGTTTCACCGTTTTACCTTTACTTTACTTTTACCCTTCGCCGCTCCCCAAGTCGCCCTTTAGGTTTCCTTCTACCAACCAGGAAAGTTATCAGGAGTATGAGTTGGGTTGGGCCGGTACAAAGAATTTTTACAGATAAATTTGTACACATAAGTTTTTTCATTAAAAATATAAGCAGTTTTAAAATTTGAGATAGGCCGGGGCCCGGTTGGCCACCCCTCCACCTCCGCCCTTGCTGCCAACTGATTTTAGTCCTGTTTGTGAAATTAGGTTTTCATTTAGTCCTCTTTAGGACAATTAGTATGATGTGAAAACATAAAGAGCTGAATTATTTGGTACGGTAAAAGTTAAGTTGGCAAATATGGTGTAAATGTGTAATACGAGTACATATTAGGGGTGGGTTCGGTTCTTGCGGTTCGGTTTTGACCTAAAACCAAATGTAGAATCAAAGTAAAAAGTTCGGTTCGGTTTCGGTTCGGTTTCACACTCCAAAACTTGGAACCACGGTTTGATTGGTTCGGTTTGTTTCGGTTCGGTTTCAGTTTTTTCGGTTTTTTTACCAAAATTTTTTCACTTGATTTTAAATTGATATAATACTTAGAGTGATCAAACATATTACATACAGAATTCAAGCACAATATAACAACAAATAAAATAAAAATGAGAAGAGATAAATATGTCTTGAATTTTATGAGTATGCGAGATATATAGATAAAACTGTATATATTATTGATTTAATTTGTTTGTGAGTAATTTGAAATTTTTTCATGAATATATATGTTCTATGTGATATAGTTGAGATTAATATTTATTGTTTTATCAATATAAAATCTTTAAGTTAGCTAAAAATAAAAGTTAATTACTACTAATAACTAGTAAACACATATGATCATCATTCAATATAGCTATTATTACAGACAATGAATGTTTAAATGAATTTATAAACTAAATTAAATTAAACATAACACAAACATTATTTCTCTAACACAAGAAAACCAAAGACTGATGATATTAAGATTAACTAGAATTAATGCTTAACAATTAACATATAAATTTCATATTTTAAATAGTTCGGTTTGTTCGGTTCGGTTCGGTTTTGAAGGGTAAAAACCAAAACCGAATCGAACAACTTCGGTTCGGTTCGGTTTTTTACATTCGGTTTCGGTTTCTTAGCGGTTCGGTTTTATTTGGTTGCGATTCGGTTTAATTTGATTCGGTTTTCGGTTTTCGGTTTTTCGGACCCAGCCCTAGTACATATTGTTCTCAACAATTTCGTAGGAAACAAGTTCTAAAGGAAGAAAAGTAAGTTCGGTACACTGAGATAAGTTTTTAACTTGAGCAAATTGTTTTAAGTCCAGATGCGCATTTATTTATAACTATTGGAGGTAACATTGATGCTTCAATTATTAATTGGATATTTAAGACGACCAAAAAAAATTGGATATTTAAATTAGAGCATAGCCATAGATAGAATACAATGAACATACAACTCTGGAACAATACATAAACATAGAGTCCCGCTCGAGCCTGAAACTTCTAACGGAACCGCTGTGCAGAATTCGTTGTTTAGGGTGATTCATGGTGAAACTTTGATGGAATTTTTTATCTAATTTATGCTCACCAAATTTCAACTTAAAATTCAATCAGGAAGGCAATTAAATAAATTATTGAAACATACTACGCGCACTATGTTTCAATAATTTATGTAACTAACTTCCCGATTGAATTTTAAGCTAAAATTTGATGAGCATAAATTAGACTTGATAAAGAACATGCTTGAAAAATTCATCAAAAAATTCCACAGGGAACCATCCCAAACAATAAATTCCCCATAGTGATACCGGTCAGGAGCTCCCGACTCGAACAAAACTCCATAAATATACTCTGTATACTTCAAGTTATACCTAAGTGCAAAATAGAAAGAAATGGTGAAACTGTGAAAGCAACAAAAATCAGGCTCGGCTTTGAGTGGTTTCAGTCAGAGATTAGCTTGGTAATGCATTCCTTTATTCCCTTTTGTAAGAAATGTCAATGAAAAAACAAAGGCTAAAGGGTCAAATAGGTACATGAACTAACTTAAAGTGTTCAATTAGCCCCATATATAGGAGGTTCTGCCCGGCCGTCGCCAATTGGGGCGGTTCCCGGATGAATTTTTTGATGAATTTTTTTAAGCATATTCTTCCTTAAGTCTAGTTTACCCATACCAAATTTCAGCTAAAAATTCATTCGGGAAAGCAGTCAAATGATTTTTTGAAGATAACTACGCAGTTAAACAGCGCAATACATTTCGGAAAATCATTTGACTACCTTCCCGGTTGAAGTTTTAGCTGAAATTTGGTATGGGTAAACTAGACTGAATGAACAAGATGCTCAAAAAATGTCATCAAAAAATTCAACCGGGAACCTCCCTAATTGGCGACGGGCGGGCTGAACCTCCTATATAAGGGGCTAATTGAACACTTTAAGTTAGTTCATGTACCTATTTGACCCTTTAGCCAAAAACAAATAGCAAAATAATTTGAGTGCTCTTGCAAAAAAAAAAAAAAAGAGTGCAGTACCATTGAGGTTTTTAGGGTCACACACCCACACCATTGAGGTTAAAATGATAGAGGCACTTGGTACATCTCCACCTTCTCATATTTCCATCTCACAAATTGCCCATATTTCATTTGCTGAGACATTGCAATTACTCACAATATCCAATCACATCATTACATCAAAATTCTAATATCGCTTTTAGCCCCCCAAATGCAAATATAGTCACGTACAATTCCCAATAAACCAAATAGTGAATTACGAAGGACAAATATTGAAATTTCTGCACTAAGAAACAAGTTCACAATATCCAATCATATCATTACATCAAAATTTATTTATTCACTATTGCAAAGTACAAACATAAACCTTTATTCTGGGTTTATTTACATAAAAAATGGACACAACATCAATTCAAATGAGAAACCTGAAAAACTAGGAGAACTTCTGTACAACACACAAGCTTTCATAGCATCATTTTATTGTATCTTGACAAAGTTAATCCATCAATATATTAACAGAAGAAGCTACAGGGCTGGGCTGCAACTCAACCATACAGCCGTATACGAGTTTTAATGGGCTCCCGGCACATCGGGCATAAAGATATTGAGGCTCCACATTCCCTGCAAGTCTGATCCAAAAAAACCGCAAGGTAATTGTCTTTTTAACTGTCAAAGTTAGCAAAAGAATTTTTTGGCAGTGATATGACAGGTAGCATGTAGGATAGTAGTATAATGCTTACCAGATGACCGCAACCAAAAGCCATGTCCTTCTGATTTGTCAAACAGATGGGGCAAACCTTTTTGTTTATACACGAAGGAAAAAAGTAAATGCTCAAAACTTAGTCTTCCGGGTCTGTTTGATTGCATTGAATAAAAAAAAATGTTTGGACTTTCCTTTGTTTGGCACCCAAAAACATTTTTTGAAGTTTCTTGTGTTCGGCATTAACAAAACATTTTCCTTAAACACATACGCAGTATTTTTTTTGTTTTGACCATTGTGGGTCATTCATTACTCATAAGAACAATTTATTTTCAACGAAAACAATTTGTTAAAAATATTTTTCAGTCTGTTTTCCTACAATATTGTTTTACGTCTTTCTTGATCTTAGACGGAGATGAATCAAATACTATATTAAACCTCAAATTATGTCCTTACAAGTCAGATAACATAAACACATACTTGTTCTGCTGCAGCAAGGGGGGCTGTTGGTTCAAAGCTTGGTGCATGTGGAAAAGCGTGTATAACATGATCATGGTCAATTACTTCACGTGGAGGAGGAAGCGGCCTTGCGCGAGGACCTTTTTTGTTTCTGAAAACGAAGTTTTGGTGAAAAGAACGCTAGTTATGTTGAAAAGTGGCCCATGTTGGCTGAATATGAAAGAATTAACCCCTTCATAAATGTTGGGCAATCCTCGCATTTCGAGAATTCTTTGAGATTGGGTTTAGACCCAGTTACCCAGCACTTATTTTTAACAAAATATTCACCAGAGAGCAAGTAGATACAGGAAAAAAGAAATCTTACTCCATGCAGTGAAGGCTTTGGGCGAGTCTGTACTGAAATGGAATTTCCATAAGGGCAGCAAGTGCAAAGGCTGTTTCCTTCTTTTCAATATCCATGTGCTTAGACATAATGGATGTGAAGTTCACAAACTGCAAGGCAGCATGTATTTGAGAAAAATTAGGTGGGAAAAAAAGGGATACTGGAGGCAGTTCTAAGTTCATGTTCCCTCAACCAAAATCTAAAGTCTAAACATCAACTATTCATATTCTATAATATATACTCATTACTTCATTAGGTATCATAGATGATCATTGAGTGATTGATTTATTATTGAGCAAGACAAAAAGTAGCAGTACCTGGAAGTTATCGAAATTCCGATGAGGAATGTTATCATCAAATTGACGCATTTCATCCCACGGTCCATCTCCCACGCCAACCAGAATAATTGAAAGAGGATAATCGCTATGTACATTATATTGGAAATCAAACAGGAAAATGCCACAATCATCTTCACATGAATAGTCAATGTATATCAATGTATAAAGTACATACTCTTGGCTCAAATGTGCTTTTATACTCGGGCAAATATAGTGTTTTCGTTTTAGGTTCCCTGCAATTTCTTTTATCCTTATAATAGCACTACTTTCATTTTAGTGCCTTAGCCAACTCTCCAGCAACCTATGTTTAATGATAAAAAAACAAGACTAACATAATTTCTGTCTTTCTTTTTCACATGATTTTGTTTTTAAAAATTACTCAACTTTATTTACCCATAGCCTATAATCCTATACTAAAAGCGTGAATGATTAATTTCTTAACTCACAAATAGCTTCCAAAAGTTCATAAAAAGTAGATGCTAAAATGATTAGAGAGGAGTTATGTGAGCGACAATTTTGAGTGTAAGATAGAGAGTAAAAACAGAAAAACATATATATATATATATATATATAGAGAGAGAGAGAGAGAGTAAGGATCAAATGAGAATAGCATCTTAGGAGAGAAATGAGAATGATTCTGGAGCGTTGGATTTGAGTATAGTGCATCATGTAAAACAAAAACGTGCATCTAAAAAATTGGAAAATGTGCATTTCAACTGTGCAAAAGTTTAAACGTAAATGTGCACATTAGAACTTTGCATTACTTTAAGTATAAATGTGCATCGTTTTGGAGCGTTCTCATTTCTCACGTTAAGGAGTGTTCTCACCGGAACCGCACCATATATATATATATATATATATATATATATATATATACACTCCGTATATAGAGTAATCTTCCGGTCAGGAATTTCCTGACCGGAGCGCCGTCCGGCCTCCTCCTTTTGGGGGCCTTCCGGGTGTTATTTTTTGCTCAAATTTTTTGTGTATGTTCCTCATCAAGTCTAGTTCATCCATACCAAATTTCAGCAAAAACTTCAATCGGGAAGGTCGTCAAATGATATTTGCAAGTTAACTGGTCCGGAAAATACATATTCCGGACCAGTTAACTTGCATAAATCATTTGATGACCTTCCCGATTGCATTTTTTGCTGAAATTTGGTATGGATGAACTAGACTTGATGAGGAACATACACAAAAAAATTTAGCAAAAAATACCACCGGGAAAGCCCCCAAATGGTGGAGGCCGGACGGGGTTCCTGTCCGGAAATTGTAGCAGTTTAAACACACACATATTATAGAGATATAAGAAAAAATTGTAGCAGTTTAAACAAAAAGTGCTATATTTGGAGGGATAAAAACAGATTTAAGCATATACGGGAATTATTTCTTTTGATGGAGAAGAATGGTCTACCTTGCAGCAACTATAGAATCAACAGTAGCCTGTTCTTGCGGACTTAGCATACCAGGTGGTGTGTCAAGGCTCCTGGTTACCTGATTAAAAAATTAGGAAATAAATGCAGGCAATATTTCAAAATAAAACTGAAGAAGGAATGAAACAAACCTGTCCATCTGCAATAATGACAAGGACATGGTACTGTCTGTTGCTTGCTTCAACTATATCAGTAGCAACATTTATAATCGGTGCAAATGAAGTCGGGCCTTCAAGTTAAGCATTAACAAAAATATAGTCATTGTTGTATCCTTAAATGGGAGTTTTAACTGGGGGAAAAAAATATATAGAGAGCACTTGATATGAAGCAGAATCTGGGCTTGGAAGAAGAGGGGAAGAAGCCCCCGCGGGTTTACCGAAGGCGGGACGGGCTTGAGCCTACCTCTGTGGGCTGGTTACGGGCTGTTTAATTAATAATTATTCTTTTTAATTTTCCTGATTTGTTTCCTATTAGGAGTTAATTATGATTTCTAATATTTGTTTCCTATTAGGAGTTAGTTAGGATTTCTATTATTTCTTTCCTATTTGAAGTTGATTAGGATCTTTATTATTCTGTTTCCTAGTTGGAGTTGATTAGGATCTCTAAGATTTTGTTTCCTACTTTAAGAGTTAGTAGATGGGTATTTAAACCCCTTGTTAGGCTTCATTCTTAAGCAATCTTGGAATAAAAGTTGGTTTAGCCTTTTGGCTCTGGGCAACGATATTTATTTATCGTTGATTATCTGGGCAACGGTTCACCCCGTTGATTTTATTTTTCTGTTCTTATCAATTGGTCCGACCTGCCGGATCCCGTCCCGCCAGAATGACGAGATCTATCAGTGAACATTTGTCAGAGATGAAGCAAACCCTGGAAGCAAACGGCAAGCAGCTGGATGAGATCGTTGCATCCCTTGCGGCGCTGACCAAGGCCCTTGTGCCATCGATCACGACGCAGACACCATCAGACACAGTCATCGGTGCCACCATCGTAGCGGCAACACATGACGACGGACCTCCGCGCAGCACTCCTCCAACCTTGCTGCCCATGTTCGACAGAAAAGAACCGATTAGGGGGATAGCTAGGGCTGAGCAAAAGTTCGAAATTAATCAAACCCTACCTGAGAGGAAAGTGACAACAGTTACGGTAGCCATGGAAGGAACTGCCTTGGACGGGTTGACCTGGTTGAAGGCACAAAAACCGAGCATGACCTGGGAGAAATTTACACAGGTGGCCCGATTTGATTCACGGTTCAAAGAAAGCCGATTCAAACGACTGTTCGGGGTCAAACAGTTGGGAACCGTAGAGGAATATTATAATCTTTTTGTTCAATTGGCAAGTCAGGTTCCCGGACTGTCCGATGATTATTACTTGGGGTATTTCATGAACAAGCTAAAAAAATCAAGTGACAGCTTTCCTCAAGATACGGGGCAGCCCCCGGGGACAAATATAAGCCAGTTTCCGGATTTCAACCTTGAGGACAAGGTTTTTTCGAAGAGGGATGGAATTGATATGAAGCAGAATCTGGGCTTAGAAGAAGAGGGGAAGAAGACCCCGTGGGTTTACCGAAGGCGGGACGGGCTTGAGCCTACCTCCGTGGGCTGGTTACGGGCTGTTTAATTAATAATTATTCTTTTTAATTTTCCTGATTTGTTTCCTATTAGGAGTTAATTATGATTTCTAATATTTGTTTCCTATTAGGAGTTAGTTAGGATTTCTATTATTTCTTTCCTATTTGAAGTTGATTAGGATCTTTATTATTCTGTTTCCTAGTTGGAGTTGATTAGGATCTCTAGGATTTTGTTTCCTACTTTAAGAGTTAGTAGATGGGTATTTAAACCCCTTGTTAGGCTTCATTCTTAAGCAATCTTGGAATAAAAGTTGGTTTAGCCTTTTGGCTCTGGGCAACGATATTTATTTATCGTTGATTATCTGGGCAACGGTTCACCCCGTTGATTTTATTTTTCTGTTCTTATCAGCACTAGAGCCAATATGAGGCACCACACCCACAGGTATACACGACTAGAAGAAATCAGGTCAAACACAAAAAATGGGGATGTGAAGCATTTGTTAAGTCCCACATTGATCGTAGACTAGGGTTGATTCTCTTCTATAATTGTGAGGCAAACATACCTTTTTGAGGATCCTTTTAGAGCAAGCTAGGCCCAATTTAACATGTCACTAGAGTGATATGATGGTGGTCTGTGAAGTGCATGTGTACTCAATGTTTTGGCGGTTTGGGGAAAACTATTTGAAGATCTGTGTGGGACTGTGGGCCCATTTTCCAATCTTTCAATTGTTCAGTCTGGCATGGGATGAGGGTGTGTTCAGCATGCAACACCAGCATTGGGTTTGAGCATACAGTGTATAAAGTGTGAGGTAAACCTCACCTATTAAGGGGGTGTTTGGAACTGATTCTGCTTCTGCTTCTTTTTTAAAAGCAGAAGCAGAATCAGAATCAGTTTTCAGAAGCTGGTACCCCCCAGCTTCTAAAAAAACTGATTCTGAGAGTAAATTAGAGCTCCAGAAGTACTTCTGGAATATTACCCAAACACTCCAGCTTCTGCTTCTGCTCCTTGAAGGAGCAGAATCAGTTTTGAGAATCAGATCCAAACACCCCCTAAGAATCCTTTCGGGATGAGTTATTTCTAATTTAACAAATGCTTGTCTAATGAAATATAGATCATGTCCAAGCATTAAATATTTATATTCCTATTCATTCCCAACTTTCACCCATTATTTAACTGCAAAATGATATAATAATATAACTGATAAAATTCTTCCGAAAAAATAACTGATAAAACAGTGCTTCAAACCTGCCAATTTTAGGTAAGGTACAATTTCTCTATAACGAGCAAGAGCTTCCTCAAATCCGTGACAAGGTCGATGGTCAGGGAAAAAGCTAAACACGTGTTGATCATGTGTTGTGGCTGAAAAGGCGATGAATGCAACATCTTAGGTTAAGTCAAGACACATACAACACGTTTCAAATCAGGAAATATGTTAGTGAAGATGGTATAATAAATACGTAGTAATGAGACTAACCGTCACCAAATCCAAAACAAGGTATTAAGTTGTCCTCATCAAAAGGAGACAAAGTTCTCCCAACTATGGAGATGGCTTGCTCATATGGATTTGGTGTATTACCAATTGCATGCAGACTTTTGTGATTGAATGAATGTTTTCCTGCAATTATTAACTTTGTAAATAATTTATTCTTCTCTATAACCAAACTAAGCTAGTAATACATTACTTCTTCCACCCCAAAAAAGAGTCATGTTTGACTCATCTGCTTCTTCTTCATTACCCCAGTGCCGCAAAGGCTTCCACCTATGGTGGGGTAAGGGGGGTCGGATGTACGCAGTCTTACCTCTATACTAAAGCACAGAGAGACTGTTTCCGGATGACCCGTAATGAAATTCGCGTCGGAAAATGCATGGACTGACTATTGCTTCATAACAAAGAAGCGTAGACACTTTAGTGAGCCATTTGGCTTTATTCCATCATATTCCCAAGCCAAAAAATAGTGAATCTTTGGCTCCATTGCAAAAATAGTGAGTCAAAAAAGAGTCATGTTTGACCATTGTACAAATGTTTTAGTTTGATATGGTACAACTATCATAAATCATATGTTAAGATCTGAGGTTTCATCCTAAAATATTAACCTAGGTACTGGCGGACATGCTTTGTTCAAGGGTGTTCATGTGAACAACTGAACACAAAAAAATTTGAAAATAAAACGTAAAAATACTTATATATAAAATTGATGTAATAATATATATATTGTATTATATATGTATAATATTCTTACCCTTAACCCTATTTGCTAATTTTTATTATTGAAAAAGTTACATTTCTTCAATTGTTGGATCAGAGAATAGCATTGTGCAATATTGTAATGGGAAATTAATTTTGAACATGCAACATTTGGTTACATGATCCGCCATTGCTAATAGGAGCATTCCAATATCCTATATGGCAGTTTAATAGTTAATATTTTTACCACGCAGTGTGGGAAATATTTCAACGAGCGTACTTATACAGTTATATTTCTTAAATTTATATATTGGCTTGAAAAGAATCTGTTTTTGGCACAAAATACGCTTGAAGTATGGCCTTTTTGGGAAAAGGGAGTAAGAACTATATTAAAGACAATAACTTACCAGCCCACTCGTTGCTTTTTGTAAAATCTATACCAAGAATCAAGTTTGATGATTCAAGGCCCGCCTCTCTCAACGCATTAATCACCTGAACATATAAGTAATAAAAATATTTATCTTCTTTTAAATGCGTACACTATTAGCAAAAAATGAAAGTGGTCTTGTGTGGCAGAGAATCACTATTTGCAAGACAATAAACCATAATAAATTGCAGGGTCATGCTACCCATAGCCTTTTAGGGAAATGGTCAAGGAACTAAAAGTAGTTTTTTTAGATCTAAATAATACTAGTGTGTACTTTTTCATATCTCAATGCATTTTTTTTGAAATTTAATGAAAAGCTTTCCACTTTTGATTCTTTAAACAAAGCCCCACGGCCTGTGGGCTACGGTTAGCATTTGTCTAGAAAAAAAATTATGTACTTCTTTACAAGTAAATGCATCGAATTGTATTATATCAACTTCAACATCAATGGACATTATCACAGAATTTCTGAACTTCCAGAAAAAGAAGCAAGTATCCTTTTCTCCAGGTTGATCTTAGGTAACTATCCTAATTGTCCCTTATATCTTTTCCAACTTTCTTTTTGGGTGGTCCCACAAACATTGCCAGTTTCCCTTTTAAATAAAGATTTTGTATCTCTTGTTAATTATCTCTCCTCTGCACAAAACTCAGTCACACAGTTTTTACTTTGTTATTCTATAAATCTATGTGCCAATCAACTTTGAAAAAGTTATAAGAGACGGAGTCACAAAGGAAAGTATTACAAAGCAAAGTTCTAAGAAATAAAGCTTAAAGATTGCAAGAAACTAATAACTATTAAGCATTACACATTACAAGAATAACAAGATATCTAGTATAGCATGTACTTGCTGCAACCAGTAATTCTGACCCCTGCAATCTTTCAGGCCTCTTCTTTTTCCATCCCCTTTGGCTCTTGTTTGGTGGTGGATTTTTGGAGGGATGTGAATTATAGTCTATACTCATTTTATTAATTTATTCTTACTTTTAGATTGTTGGAAAGAAAGTGAAGATGAAAAATTAAATAGAGAAACATGAGATAAACACACAGTCATTTTATAGTCTATGAAAATTGAGATAGATGAATAAAACAAAGAGTACCTGGTCCAAGGAATTAAAGTTGTCAGCTATATAGGAGGCTTGCTGTTTCTTTTTATTTTCGGTCGTATGTGAACTTCCAAAATGTGAAGGACCTTGATCTTCGTAGTTTGTAGTATCACTAGAATGTCCTGTATATGAAGTAGATTGATATGGGTATCCAGTTGCCGCTACGTTTCTTGCACTCTCTGGGCTTTGTTGATAATAAGCATCATGGGACTCATCAACTCTTGATTCTTTGTTTCCCATTACTTAAGTGTATATCCTCCACTTTTGACAGTTTACACTTTCTGCATATGCAATTTTTTCCAAGGAAGAACTCAGTTTTGCATGATTAATGATGATCAGTACTAATCATATCACTGCGTACTCAAAGCCACTGCCTCACATAGTATATCACATCTATCATTTTGATCAAACTATATATACTACTGCGTATTAGTTATTTAGCTAAAGTTACTGAATTTTTATGTATTGACTAATCAGACAATATTAAAAATAAATGAACAATTTAAAATATTTTCCAAGATAACCTCATTACTCGTGCATGTTATATACTATTTCCGTTATACTACATTTTATTTCTTAATGTATTATAAATTACATGTCGGACACATATTGTTAAATTCCTCTAATTTTAAATTTTCAAAATCTGAACTTTCTAAATTCTAATATGAAAAGAAAGATATTAATAGTCATGCGTTGCCAAACATGAAAAGCAGACCTTTGCAACTAAAAGAACAGAATGGGCCGTTGCAAATTAGTAAAGCAGAGTACCCTAAATAAAAATAAAAGAATGTTTGAAGCCTTGTCATTTTCCTACGAGTAGTAAGTAGTAACTAGAGCATGAGAATTTGCTCACTGTCAGAATATTGTGTTGATTTCAAATTAAATCTTGGGTTGCGATCGGATAGCCCTCAGTATTCAGTAATATACCCAAAAACTGGTCTAGGGTTCAGACAGCAGCCTATATACGAGAGAAGAAGGTGATAGCTCTGACCTGTTAAATAGAATTGATGCAGGAGGGCACCCTTTGATAGCAGAAAGAGAGAAGAAGGTGATCTGTATTCTCTAATGCCATTTCCTTTTTTGTTTTGCCTTTTTAGTTTTGCGTGTTTTCTTTCTTTTCTTGCTAGTTGCCTGAACGGTTGAGTGGCAGTTTTCTTTCTTTTGAAGGAATTGGATCCCTCGGGTTCATAGTTTTGGCATATTTCAATTAGGGGTGGGATCGGTCCGGTCTGGGTCGGGTTTTTGCTAAACTCGAAAATTATCCGGAATGTTTCGGTGTATGAAAATTAGGGACCGGAACAAAGTCCATTATATTCGGTTCGAGTCGGGTTTTTGGTAGCCCGGTTTCGATCTGGGTTCAGGTTTGGCCGGTTAAAGCCCGAACGTGAAATATCTCATTGTTATTTGATATTTTAACACCTATTTTCAAATAAAATTAATCAAAAATACAAAGCGCAGACAATAACACAAATATTAGTCTCCAAAATCACCAACAATTCAAATTTAAAGAAGATAATTATCTTAATATTTTATTTAAGATGCATATAAATAAATAATATAGGTTTCTCAAAAACATTACAAAATAAAATTTATAGATAAAAATGTGACTAGAGTTGCTATAAATATATTTTCATGGTCATTACGCTAAACAAATTCAACATATTTGTAATCACTAAAAGTTACTAAATCATTTTTTATCCACCGTGATTATAATCATATATTAGGAAATATTTATAAATTTATATTCATATGTTATATTAATTTTATATTAAAGCTAATTGTTTCGGGTTTTTATCTGTCCGGGCCGGGTTTTTTTTATTCAGCCTGGTTAAAAAGAAATAACCCGGATCGGGATCATAATTCAGTTCGGTCTAGGGTCGGTTTCCGGGTTTTGGTTCGGTTTTTTCCACCCCTAATTTCAATCCTAAATCAAATTAAGGGGTGTTTGGAACTGATTCTGCTTATGCTTCTTTTTTAAAGTAGAAGCAGAATCACAATCAGTTTTCAGAAGCTTCTCCCCCAACTTCTAAAAAAACTGATTCTAGAAGTAAATTAGAGCACCAGAATCACTTCTGCACTTTCACCCAAACACCCAACTTCTTATTCTGCTCCCTGAAAGAGCAGAAGCGATTTTAAGAATAAGATCCAAACGCCCCCTAAACCAGAATAGATCAAAATATGGGGGGTTTGGATCTGTTTCTTAAAACTGTTTCTCCTCCTTCAAGGAGTAGAAGCAGATATTGGAGTGTTTGAGAGAAAGTGTAGAAATACTTCTGGATGTTCCAAATTACTCCTAGAAGCAGTTTTTTAGAAACTAGGGGAGACCAGCTTCTGAAAAATTGATTCTGATTCTGTTTTTGCTTTTAAAAAAGAAACAGAAGCAGAATCAATTCCAAACACCCCCTAGATTAGACCAAATTTATACAAATCAGATACCAAATAGAACAGACCAGGTCAAACTTAAACATATCATATCAAACTTCAATAGTTGTAAAATACACATAGATCAGACATTTACCAGACTTGACTTAAACAAACCAGATTAGATCGATCAGACCAGACCCAAAAAAATCAATCCAATCAAAAGCATCTTATTCCCAATTTCGCATCCCTTATAAATTTACAAGGCTTACATTTTTTTCTTATTCCAATAACTTTGTCATTTTTTTTAATAATGAAAAACTGATACTGATAATATTATCTTTATCTGGTTTCCTAGAGGTACATACACTCTTACAAAATGTCTTATAAAAAAGTTACGGAGTATATGACAGCATCATATTATTTAACATATCACATCACTTTTACATCAAAGGTAATTATAATAGTTTCATCACCTATTTGTAAGTTTTTTGTAACTTTGTTTGTACTTGTATCATTTTTCTCCTTGTAGAGCCCCAAACTAATATTTACCGATTATGAAAAGTTATTACGAATAATGTATAACATTCGGTCAAGGTTTAATTAATGGTACCATATTTGCATTAACATTTTATCGTCTCTCTTATATGTCCTAGCTTTCTCATTCATTCGCACCTGGTAAGCTTCTACGTCCCCACTTCATTCTTCCTTTGCATCTGGTATGCTTCTGCGTCGTCGCTTCCTCCTTCCATCGCACTTGGTAAGCTTCTGCGTCCTCACGTAAACTTCCTCATCGTTTCTAAATTAGACATCATCACGCGATCAATGTATCTTCTTCCTAATTGTTTCTGAGTTTGACGTCCTCACGCAATCGATATATGTGAAAAAAGAAAAATCAAGAGAATATGGGGTCCTGTTCAACAAAATCAATTAGAGGAGAAAATTCAAAATTGAAATGTCACCACAACATCAGTTATGTTGTGAGAGTTACGTTGTTAAAAATGGGAAAATGTTGGAAGAAGTTTTTGAGATTTCTCTTTTAATGCCACTAAGTGTATTGATTTATAATCTGATAGAAAAATGATATTAACATTGCGAGTTTAACCAGATAAAAATCCCGAGTTTAAACAAATCACCAGACAAACCGCCAAATGCAAGAAAAGAAAATAATAATAATTAGTATAAATTAAAATAATTAAAAAGTAAGGATAAGAAAACTTATCGCAGGATCGCCCGTTAAAACGGACTAGCCTTGAAGAAAGATAGCCCCCGTATCCCGATAGCTATTCGGACGGGTCTGGCTAGCTCGCTCCCAGGATAATCCTACCACGTTTCAGACTCGTAGCTACCTTGACTGAAACCTTCGACCGTTGCCAAATTTGCCAAGAAATAGAGTTGACTTGAACTCTTATGAAAGTATAATATATAAATTATACGTACTCTTGGAATGGACAAACTAGTGGAGTAAAGACCCACTCAAATCAAAAAAGAGAAAACTATCAAATAAGCCCCTGTACTATACCGAAAAAATCAATTAGGCCCTCGTACTTTACAAACACTCAATTAAGTCCTCAAACTATTAAAAAACGTTCAATTAAGCCCTTTCGGTCAGTAAGTAACCGGTTTTCCGGTTAAATGTAACCCGTTTCCCGGCAGCCGCCGTTGCTGGGGTTCGAGCACATCGTCGCCGTCGTCGCCGTTTAACCGGGAAACCGGTTACTTACCGACCAAAAGGGCTTAATTGAACCTTTTTTAATAGTTCGAGGGCTTAATTGAGTGTTTGTAAAGTACGAGGGCCTAATCGACTTTTTCGGCATAGTACGGGGGCTTATTTGATAGTTTTCCCAATCAAAAAATGATTTACGTATGAATGTATGATGATCTAAAGAAAATGATAGAGAAAGGATGTTTTCTATTCTTTTGTGTGTAAGAGCTCTCTTCAAAGCAATATGCAGAAGTGGCCTTTATACTTCATCTAACGGAATAAGGAGGTAGGGGAATAATCGTTCAACGGAAATCAGAATTTCAAAGCATGAAACGGAAAACCACTTTAAGGCTCATCCAAACCTCTACATTAACCACCATTAAGATATGTATGGATGTAACGCAGGACCAAGCATCGTATTTCAATTTTGAATTCCAAATTGAATACTGCTTTGCACGTTTTATTTTATGATTTAAAATAAAACTGTTCAGATTCAGCAAGTCATAATTTTTGTCAAAACGCAAGCAATTCCTTGATACATTTTAAATGATACTTGAACAATGTTCCTTATCATATAAAATAATTTACAACAGTAGCTTTTACTTATAAGCGACAAAAAATTTATCATATTAAAACATCACTTTACCACCTTTACAACTATGGATTATTTTATTAATTATAATCCAATCATGAAAGTTGTACTTTGATGTATAATAAATCATTTCCAAATCATACTCTATACATTTATCCTCAGGACTCATAAATGAGCCCCCCTAAAATATATATTTTTCCATCATATTTCCAACATAATCTTCCCTATTTCTTTACAAACAGGCTGCAAATAAAGTTCATATTGCAAGTAGCTAGGGTATATATGAACATGTCAACATACTTCAGAACATATTAATATTAATTGACTTATAATTTCATAAAAGACTATAGGAAGAAACAATTGAGAAGTTGCAAGTCAAAAATAAAAATTGAAAGGGGGATTGCACCCGATAAAGAGTCAAATTGTTTTGTGAAATGTGTAGTGAAAATTTATATTGTTTAAGGAATGAGAAGAAGTGTTTAATTTGCCGACTCTTTTATTGATGATGTTGACTGTAGTTTTTGGTCTGTAAAAAAGTATTGGTGTAGCAGGGTTGAATATTGATGTAATATATTGGTGTAGAAGTATTGCAATGTATTTCCAAATCTGAACTCCAACGTGTGAGGACTTTGTTTAAAATAGTACTTCTTAGCCACTTTGTGTTGGCCTACATTGTTTAATACTTGTATGCTATTGTCAATTTTATTGATACATGCATTGATTGATGATTGGGAGTTGATAGTTGAGGAACATAATGTGTTCCCGCTTGTTTTAAAACATATTTGCAATGCATACAGGTGATAAATATCCCCCCGTCCCATTTTGGTTGTCCTTTCCTTTTTGAGTTGTACCAAACTGGTGTTTCTTTTTCTGGTAAGAACTATATGGTTCTTATCGTCTCACTTTATTCTATTGAAATTTCAACCACAACTTTCAATTTTCACAACCACTTTATTAATGGTTGACAACCAATAAAGTAGGAATTTCGGGGGTGGGGGGTGATCTGCACAAAGACACACAATGTTGTAGGGATTGTTCTGCATTCCCTCATCACTATCCCACAAATGCCTTACACCAGCAACAACTTAATGTTTCTGCAACTCTGCATTCACCACCAATGTGGTTACCGAAGGAGACACACCTCAATGAAACTTTATCGTCTCCTAAAATTAAAACTTGACAACCAATATGGGACAGAGGTAATATTAAATTTTATGACAATTATATGACACACAATTGTACGTCATAACAAATATTTCATCCGTTCTTTAATAATTACAACATTGTGATATTTGCACTATTCACACACCTTACTTTGACTATGATTTTCTACTGATATACGTAATCAAAATTTAATGTATAAATATCATTACATTTTTATTGATGTAAATTTCCAAAATATTAACATTTTTTTAATGTTTATTAATACGTAATTAAATATCATTACAGTAAAAGTTGTGTGTTAGCAAAAGTGAAAGACAAATTGTTGCAATTATAAGGTAGTATATGACATTATTT